AGAGGCTAAATGTTTTTTTGACGGTGATTTGGTTGAAAAAAGTCGCTGAAAATTGCTTAGCATTGTCCCCTACCTTGTCAATTGCAGGTAAATTTTGAAAACTGGCAGACCGACTGCAAACGTTTGAATCGCATACGAGCTCGCTGCATCATGCCAATGTTTCATAAAACAGGCTTGGTACCGATCAGACTGAGCCGTGACGGTGGTCAAAGCTTCCCGTTTTTTGGAAAATTCTATGTCGGTAAGTGTTTTGGCTTATGAATGCGGTGCTTCTTCTTAAGCTTCGAAATCGCCACTACTAATGCCGTGCTAGCGCCGTGACGGAACATTGATCAATCGATGCGAGACCAATTAGGCTGACACGGCGCTGGCACTACAGCAGCACTGCGCTGGCTCATAAACGACTCCGGAGGCAGATTACATGGCAAAAGAGACGACTACTTTCAGTTGTTCCCGATCGTGCACCGGCCCTAGTCTCCTTGAAGGATGACGTCGACGACATTCATAATAGATGGTAATACAGTAGCTTCTTTTCAGAAGGATGGTAACCAGTTTCAATACAGGTATCAGCCCTATGCAGAAACATTGACAATGGGCTGGCAAGCACTCAATTTGACATACAATTATGGTGCCCGAGTTGATATAAGTCTTTACGGATACTGGGAAGATGCTGATAGGTGAGTTGAGAGCGTAGTTGAACTGTCTGAAAATGTCTTTTGAAGGTCACATTTTGTGCAAGTTGACTATCTCGCCAAAGGAGTACCGAATACCGGATCTTATACTTTCAAACCGCCTTCTTTCCAGCGGCAGACGCTTTTAAAGGTCACTGCCTCTTAAAAAAATGTTTCGCATTGAATACGTATTTTTTTAAGAACGCATGGCAAAAATTTACATTTGGTTTTGTGCGAGTATCGTTGTCAGACACTGAGGATGGTGTGCAATGGAGCAAACCGACACCGTTCCCGTGGTGAGCACATTAGTTGATAATAATTTCATACGAGGAGATAGGTTGCTTCAGGTACTACCTTCCAGATTGGAAGAAACACTATGGCCAGAATTGGGCGTTGGACATGTGTATTGAATGGTTTGAATACGACGGAAAACGGCGCAATTTTCAGATGGATCTGACAAAAGATATTCCATGTCCCTGCAAAATTTCTCAAGTATCTGAAAAATTTCAGCGGAGATATGAAGAGTTAGAAGCATGGAATTTGCAGGCGCTGCTCGATCTTGGAAGGTACATGCCCATCATGGACTGTGACAAAGACGGTGACACATCTTGTCCCTTCAACAAGGGTGCTCAGCATTGCATACAAAGCGTGCAGCCAAGGTTCGCCATCGTGATGCTTGCTTTGTCTTAGGCCCGTATGCACGTACATCCCCGCGGGGAGGGG